GTGGGATACCTTCGTTGATCGGACCGGCTCCAGGTAATTCAGAATGATTTATTCCATTCATCAAGGTCCAGCAGGGATTGAATTTTAACTCAGGTTTGTATTTCAACAGTCCATGGGTGTACTAACCGTGCTAGGCTCGTTAGTGCAAAAAATCATGTCTTTTTGCCTCGTGCTTCCAAAAAATCATGTCTTCTGCCTGGTACTGCCCCTTTTCCGTTTGGCAGGCCGCGTCCTCGCAAACGATGCGGTGTGTTAACCACCGCGTCGAAAACAAAACAGCTGGGAAATGTGATGCTGGTTTTTGTCTAAACAAGATTGCCGCAAATCGAGTGAGGTTATTTTCCGGAGATCCCTACACCGCTCTTAGCGATTTCTCACAAGACATTGTCATTCAACTGGGACCTTTCCCTCTCCTCTGCCCGCTAGTTTTGTAAACAAAGGGACACCGGACCCACTTTCCGGCAGGTGCTGCTCCCCACCAATAGATGGAGCGTTCGCACTGGGGTCCACTTGAGGAATGTGCGCTTATCACTCCCTCAAGGATCCCCCTCGAAGTTCCATGTATGTCACTGTGCCTCTAGTGCCAGCGGCGTGTCTGGAGTGTATTTTTTGGCTGTGACAGACCTTTCTTGTTTCGTGGGTGTTTTGCTGGCTTGTGATGGGGTGTGAACCGACAGTCTGTAGAGTTTTCCATCTGGTGTGGGTGAGTGATAGTCTACTTTGATTTTTGTCACAGGTACTTTGAGGGCAGTGGTTGGTGCCCACCTCAGGGTATCAGTTGTCGGGTAGTCGTCGATGCTTAACCACAACCGGGGTTAAGGTGGATTATCACGTACAGTGTAATCAGCTAGGGGATTCTGCAGACTGTTGAGGGTTCAGCCTCCTGATGAGTCGGTGAAACTCCGATGAAACAGTTTGTCACAGCCCCTCGTTTGTTGTCCTCTTCTCCCTCTCTGCCTACCGTTTACCAGGCAGCTCTGTTTGACGATATATATTATATTAAAAAAAAGAAGACGTTTTGACTTCTTTTCATGCTTTAGTTTGCACAGACAATAACCCATCTTTGGCCTGTATTGAAGTGGGAGGAGTGTGTGTCGACATGATTTGAATGTAACATCTCTCTATCCGTCTTTCTTACCCTGTTGCTCTTTTGGTGCAACCTCTTTTGTGCCTCTCTTTGTTGAACTCTTTTTGTTATCTTTTTTGTATGTGTGGGTTAGCCCCCCCCCCCCCCCCCCCCC